TAACATATGACCTTCCTGTCTTTCATTGGCCAAAAAGGAAAGTCGCATTCAACATCAAATCAAAACATTTACCCTTTGTTTGGATAAGAAAAAAAAAGAGAGGAAACTAGAAAAAATCCTAAAAGTGAAACAAATTTTGTTTTTTGGTAGTTTTCTCTTTTTTCCTATTTCATTTTCACTTGTCCGTCCATTTAAACCAAGCTTAAATTTTACAGTAAAACAAAGCAACAGCAAGAAGAGAAGCTAAACATCAAACACAATCAAACCAAATATACCATCGCCAATTGTGCACCTGTCAGCTTCAAGATGGGATTCAAAAGGGCTTACCATCATATTACAAAAGACCAATGTTTTTAAAATAAAATGGAATTTAAACTAAAATATTAATAGTTCACGATTCATATGATCCAATTGGGTTGGACCAATGGTTGATCCGGTGGCATAATAATTAAATTAAAAATTATATATATATATATATAAATAATATAAATATAAGAAATAAATATGAAATTACTACTTAACTTACAAATAAAACCAAATATTTTAAGTTTATCATGACTTAACAAGCCACATGATACAACATAAATCAAATAATTAAAAAAATTGATCATTTTCTAAAAAAATTAAACAAAAGAAAAAGGACATTTTTTTTATAGTCCATTTTTTTAAAACTGGACCCAGTTATCAGTCCAAAGCAACTCAATCCGGCCCAACTCACCGAAGCTTGACTAAGTTGTTAGCTTAATTGGTCGACAGTTTGACCATCAAGTTTAGTCTGGTTTTTTAGTCATTACAAAAAACTCCCATACAAAGCTACAGTTCCTAAAGCCATTATTGTAGAGCACAATATTCTTCAGAACAGCACCGCAATGCCATTCATGAACCCCAGTGTTCATCAACAGCTAACAATCAGACTCAAAACAACCTAACCAAATCCCAAATCTAGAATCATCTGCATCCCCCTCTTGAGAGCCAAAGCTTCGCACATGACGGTAGAAGTTTCAAATTTCAGAAAAAAGAAACCTGTTCCACCTTCTAAGCAGTACTTAACAAGAACAGATATTACGTCTTACTTATTTGAACGTAGGCCGTGAGATACAAACAAAAGATTGTAGCAAATGGCATCTCACATATAAAAGGATCATCATTCAATCAAAACACAAACATATGAAGAATGCATCCATCTTCCATAATTATATCTCCATCTTACCAAGACAACTAGGTTAACAAAATAAAAAGAGATAAATGTCTCCAGTAATCTAGAAAAAGAAAACTGAACAACATGATATTTACAGAATAGGCTGGTCAAGTAAAGCTACCAACATCCAGTATTAAATATCTGCATTACCGATCTCAATAAAATCTCTAAACGGCATCGAGCCTCATAGGTACAAAATGATCGTCACAAGTACAGGTTGATCTTCTCCAGCAAATTATCTTAAAGTAAATCCCCAAGGTAATAATTAAACTCTAGGATCAAAGCTCTTCAATATGGTTGTTGCAACTGGTACAAGGCTTTCTACATAATTGAAGATAACATAACCATTTCTCTTCCTTGGGATAGCAACCGTCTTGATTCATTAGTAGTGAGATTGACCATGACAATATTTTGTTCATTATTCCTCCTTTCACGTTCAGTTTCCCAAGTGGGTACAAAATTGCAGACAATTTCGTTCCTCCAAATAGTCCAAGGAACTAAAATGCATGGGTAAGGGCTGACACTGTATTTCTTAGTCCAATTCCATCTTCCCCGGACGCACCTGCGCCCTCCTCCATCACCCACAAATCAATCAAGGAAGATTCATAGTTTCCACTGAAAGTGTGAGAAAGCATAGCAAGATTATTCTCATGCACAGTAAGCCTATTGAAAAGTGATTTAGGGACTGAAGTAGGTAATGGTATCAAAGTAAACACTTCAATTGCTATGTCAAATGAAACTATCAATTGAACATAATTTTCATCCTCCTGCCCCAAATTTAGCATAAACCCAAACCAAAAGATAGCTCCATTTGCAGGGAAACTGTTAGAATAAGATATACACAGTCTAAGTTCCCAAATTCTATTGCATTCCACGTTCTTGTGCTCAGTGAATATAATTGCACTTGATTAACCAGCTTAGCACATACGGGAGACTCTTCCATGCGAATAGACCGTTCATTATTTGAAGAAACACGCATTCTCACTATCTTGTAATCATTAACAAGTGGACAAAACCCAAATCCCATCTTGAAAGACTCGCGCAGAAATATTAACAGCTACGGACACCTGTCTAACCTCTCTAGTAGCTGGATTCCATACGAAGATGGAAGCCTCATTGCGTTGGAGGCAGACCAAGCCATGGCTAGAACCTATGGTATTAACACCCAACAAGGAACCGATTAGAGGTGCGCTTTGAGCTTCAAATACTTGCATTTTTTGATCGACAAAACCCAAGTACGCAGGAACAATTGGGTTAGCCCCTCCTAAAAGGAGAGAAGAGGTTTGACTACCAGTGTGATGGAGATGGTCAGCGATGAAAGATGCAGTCTTGAAGAGATTTTTCCAGTTTTTGCAAACACATCGAAATCGGATTAGGGATTTTACGGGAAGTCGTTTGAGAATGTTTGTGATGATATCTTGGGGAAGAATTGCTGTGTCGTCGTCCACTGCCACCTGCTTCATGGTGCTCAACGAGGAAGAACAGATCGCTGTCTATTTTACTGATAAACTACATATATTATTGATAAATCGGTTTTCTGGGCCAATATCTATAAATCTGTGCATATAAGAATCTATACATATGAGACCAAAAAGAATCAACCCGCTCCAGATACATTTTCATGTAGTAGTGAACAGCAGAACAGGTAATCTGTATGGTTTCATTGGTTGGTGTGATTCCATCTATTGTCCTTCCTCTTTTTTGTATTTTCTCACCCAATATTTTTGATAATTTTTTTGTCTTTTACCATCTCTTGTTTTTGTCGAATGATTTGTTTTTTTCGGTACCACTACCTCGTCCCTTTTCAATTAAGATTTATTTAAGGAAAACGACATATAAGTCTCAAGAACTAGTAAATTTAAATTAGATATTAAATGTTAGAATTTATAAGTTCATCTTTTAATTTTATAATTTTATTATAATAAATTTATAATTTAACTTTTAAATTTTAATATGATTAAAAAATAAATAAATTTATTTTCTCTATTAAAATTTGAAACAAAATTACAAATTCATCACAACAAAGTTATAAAATTAAGAGTCAATTTGTAAATTCATAAAATTTGACACTTAAACCTCATTTGAATTAATTAATCTCTTGTGATCTATCTATCATTCTCTCATTTATTTATGTAGTATAGTATTTATTCTTTTGTTCGGTTCACTTTTTCTGTTTTTTATCAAGCTATTAAAAATGTATTGATCGTTGAACCAAACAAGACATTGATTTAAGGATTGATGGTTAGACTGTAGTTGAACCGATTGAAACTAATTAATATATTTTTAATTTTATATGCTAAATGGTATATTAGAGATGAAATTTTGTAAAATATCTCTAAACTTATTTAATATATTTAAATGCACTCATTCATTGAAGGGTTTTTAAATTAAATTAACTATAATGAAGTTTAAAAATATAGATAAATAATTTAAAGTAAAGATTAATTATATGCATTCCTGCTGAAAAAATAATTCAAGATTCAGGAAATAATTAAAATGACTCAACAAAGATTATGGGAAAAATTGGTGAAAATGACCTAATTAAAAGAGAAATTGTGCCCAGGATCAAATTAAATTCAAAGAACAAACTAAATATTTTATTTATTAAACAATATAAGCAAATGATCAAAATGTTTTTTTTGTTTAAACAAATGAAATTGAATTAAAAAAAAACTGTATGTTCAACATGTACATCTCAAGTCAAAGAAACTTTGCACCTCAGCCAAAAAACCTTGCACCCCAAATTTAAAGTCTTACACCCCAATCAAAAGCATTGCATCGAAGTCAGAAGCCATATATCCCAAGCCAGAGCTTTGAAGTGCAAGACTTCTTTGACTTGGGATGTTTCGTGTTGAACATACAGCCTTTTTTTTATTTAACTTATTTGTTTAAATAGAGAAGTATTTTGATCATTTGTTAATCTTGTTTAATAAAAAAAATATTTAGTTTGGTTCATAAATTGAACTTGGTCCTTGAACATTTTATCTTTCAATTAGTCCTTTGCATCAATATTTTCAAGATTATGAGAAAAAGGGGCAACGAAGAAAACACGTGCTGTTATTAAAACCATTGAGTCCCACATCGAAAGATAGCAAATTCTTCACTTGGATGATTGCCTATTAAAACGAGAGGAGGCCGGCAACTGTGGGTTGAAGTGGGGGTTGGTTGTCAAAAATAATAAATTACATCTCGTGACCGTGTGGAAATTGCAGACTTCGTCCCCTTCCTTAAAAAAAAGAAAAAAAAAAGTTGAATCTGGCTCATGAGCGTAAAGCCGGTCGCCTTTTTACTCGTTAAATCAGTTTTTAACGGGTTAGCCGGTTGGTCAACTGTTTGGTCTAGGAGTTGACTGGATTTGATAAAGGGCCAATTCTTGATTTAATTAGTTAAATCGATCATCCGGTTTGATTTTTAAAATTTTAGTTTTACCTGTGAATTTTCTTTTTTTTTTTGGCCTTTTACTGCATGTGCCACGTGGCATCAAGTGATGAAAGATGTTCAAAATATTTCTTCAATCTTCTTATTCTCATGATGATTGAAATATTTTGCAAATATCTAAAATAAAACTGTAGGATAAAAAATTTTTGGCTGTCAAATGTCATCTATTACATAGTGCTTGAGGGAAGAAGCACTTTCTCATGATGCTTGAATAAATGTGTCTAGAAAACATGAAATGATACAGGAGGAAAAATTAAAAAAAAAAAAGTGGGGAAGAGGAGAAGAAATTGAAAGCAAAACGCGGGGGGAGGTGGGGTTTAAGGACTGAAAGGTAAGATTAAATTGAATAGATCGATGAAAAACATCAACAAAGATTGTGTATTGTGAACCTCAAATCGCAAAAAACTCTTTAGCAAACACTCATCCAATCCACCATTGGTCCAAAGAGCACCCAAACTCTAGTTGGTGGAAAACAACTATCATAAATCAATAAAAGTAAGTTGAAAATGCAAGAAATCATCGAAAGAAACTGAACATCCTGATATTATAGATAGGCAGAAAGGTACAAGAACTTGACATTGAAAATATTTCTTCAATCCTCTTACGATGACTGAAATGTTTTACAAATGTCTGAAATAAAATTGTAGGATAGAAAAAGATTTTTGACTGTCCAATGTCATCCATTACATAGTGCTTGAGGGAAGAAGCATTTTCTCATGGTGGTTGAATAAATTGTGTTTGGAAAACATGAAATGATGACAGGAAGAAAAAAATTAAAAAGTGGGGAAGAGGAGAAGAAATTGAAAGCAAAAAGGAAAAAAAAAAAAAAAAATAAACCTAGGCATTGAAAGGTAAGATTAAATTGAATAGATCAGTGACAAAACATCAACAAATTGCGAACCTCAAATCACATAAAACTCTTTAGCAAACACACTCATCCAATCCACCATTGGTCCAAAGAGCACCCAAACTCTAGTTGGTGGAAAACAACTATCATAAATCAATATAAGTAAAATGAAAATGCAAGAAATCATCGAAAGAAAACTGAACATCCTGATATTATAGATAGGCAGAAAGCTACAAGAACTTGACATTGAAAATATTTCTTCAATCCTCTTATGATGACTGAAATGTTTTACAAATATCTGAAATAAAACTGTAGGATAGGAAACAAAAAATTTGGCTGTCCAATGCCATCTATTACATAGTGTTTGAGGGAAGAAACACTTTCTCATGGTGCTTGAATAAATTGCGTCTGGAAAACATGAAATGATGACAGGAGGAAAAAAAAAAATAAAAAGTGGGAAGAGGAGAAGAAATTGAAAGCAAGAAGGAAAAAAATGAATCATAAGCACTGAAAGGCAACATTAAATTGAATAGATTGGTGAAAAAATATTAATGAAGACTTTGCATTGTGAACCTCACATCACAGAAAACTCTTTAACAAAACACTCATCCAATCCACCAATGGTCCAACGAGCACCCAACCTCTAGTTGGTGGAAAACAACTACCATAAATCAACATAAGTAAAATGAAAATGCAAGAAAACTTAATTTAATACCCACCATCGAAAGAAAACTGAACATTCTAATGTTATAGATTGGCAGAAAGCTACAAGAACCTGGTATTGAACATAAGCGCTAAAATAAATTTGTAATGGGATAATTAAGATCTAGGATCAAAGCTCTTCAGTATAGTTGTTGTCAACTGGTACAAGGTTTTTCACATAATTGAAGAAAAGCATAATTATTACTCTTTCTTGGGATAAGAAACATCTTGAATTCATTAGTAGTGAGATTGACCAAAACAATATTATGTTCATCATTCCTCACTTCACGTCGTAGACAATTGCAGACAATTTTTTTCTCCAAATAGTCCCTAAAACTAAAATGCATGGGTAAGGACTGATACTATATTTCTTAGTCTAATTCCATCATTCCCAGATGCAGGTGCATCCTCCTCCATCACCCACAAATCAATCAAAGAGATTCATAGTTTCCATTAAAAGAGTGAGAAAGCATAGCAAGATTATTCTCTTGCACAATAAGCCTATTGAAATGTGATTTAGGAACTGATGAAAGTAATGATAGGAGGTTTTGAAAAACAAAATAAATGGTTAAGGGAGTTAATTTTAAATATTAATGATGAGACAGGTCATATACAACTGACTCAAACTTTGAAAGAATTTTATATATCTTAGCTTAGTTATTTTTTCTTATCGTAATTAAACATAACATAATATCTGTTTTTTTAAATTGAACAAAATACATCTTTTGATAAAATCTCCAAACTATCTAAAAATTATTTACTTTTTAATTTTAAACCAACATGTCTAAAAAATCTTATACATACGGGGTCAAAAACAAAAAATGCGTAATGCGATCGTCATGAAATCATTCAAATAATTAACGAGAATACCTTATAAAATATTATTTATCAACATTTACTACAAATATTAAAAAAATTACATAACTCCGTATTTTTTTAATTTTATTTCCTTTTGCTTTGGACTTTGAAATGCAGATTATTCTTGCAAGTTAAGACCTAATATAATTGTCAAAATGTTATTGGATTATATTCAAACGAGCATCAGCAATTGAATATCAAATCAAATCAAATTGAGTTTGATGTTTGATTCAATCTATTCGATTTTATAATTCAAGTAGACTTTTTTTAATAAAAAATTTTGTTTATTTTTTTTGATAAAATGACAAATAGTTCAAAGACAAAAATTTAAAAAATATTGTTTATCAATTCAATGCAGTTTAAAAATTACTTAATTGAATAAATTAAAAGTTAAAGTATATTTTCAGTCTTTTGATTTTACATAAGGTTTCATTTTAATTCCTTAATTTTATAAAATATATTTTTAGTCATTTAACCTTAACATTATTAGTTTTATCACACAAAAAATTTACATTGAACTTTTAAATATTAATAATACATTTTCAAATGTTGATTTATTAAGTCTAAATTTTTTAAAATAACAATGATTAGAACAAAAAGTAAACATTTGAAACTAGC